ATCAAAGGACTGTGGGACGCCTCGCGTTGGGTGCTCACGGGAAGACGACAAACGAGGCTGTAAAGGGCGATATGGGGTGGGCAGGTTTTGAGGCGAGGGAAGCGCAGAGCAAAATAAGGTTCGAAGAAAGGCTAAGAAATATGAAGGAGAGTAGATGGGCAGAGAAGGTGTTCCGTTATTTGTATAGGAAGAGCGTGGACACACAGTGGAGAAAAAGAACTAGAAGACTCACTAGTAAATATACGGCTGGTATTGTAAGCCATATGTCAACAAAGAGCGTTAAGGGAAAAGTCAGGGAGGCGGAGAGGATTTACTGGATGGCAGCTATGGAGAAAAAACCGGCTTTGAGTAACTACCGAAAGGGCAAAAATGAAATAAGGAGGGAGGCATTTTACGATAATTCAAGGGGAAGCGCTTTACTGTTTGAAGCGAGATCGGGTTGCCTTAGAACGCGTAGTTATAAAGCAAGATTCAGTAAAGAAGAAGAACAATGCACATGCTGCGGGAAAGATAAGGAAACGGCGGAGCATGTTCTGATTGAATGTGGAGATATCCACCCAGGTGTACGTTTGGGTACGAGCCTACAGGAAGCCTTGGGTTTTAGGGACAACAATGGAAAGCTGAACACACCCGCGATTGAAATAAGTAAGAGACGGTTAGAGTATTGGTGGCAGAAAATTTGAGAGAAAGGACAAAAATAAATATTGGAAAAATAAAATATGGACAGTGTGCCGTAAATGGCAGAGAACTTAAGCTGAAAATTTACCTTTTTTTCCATTAAGATAGAATTTATCGAAGTAGAGGCATTAGGCCAACATAAAAAAAGAAAAAAGGTTTTTTTTTTTTTTTTTGTCGAGCCTGGTGGCATACTTGTCACCACCCCGTTATAAAGGGGACGCTCATAGCATCCATCCATCCATCCATCATCAATATATAACGAAAAGATGCGAGATGGCGGCACTTGGACATGGACGGACGCGGCTAGCGGACGGACGATTGTTATAGGACTTCTTTATGCTATATTGCACTCTATTTTCCAGAGTAAATCACCTCTTGTTGAGGCAGAATACAAGCGATTCCTCCAGAACGGGTCAAAGCACTCCCCCTCAACAGTTTGTCGATACAACCATCCGAAGCTTCACCCCACTCATGATCATTCACTCCGTGGATATGATTTCTCTTGGGGGGAGGGGGGGATATAATTTTTTTTTAACTTTTGACCAGACAAACATTTTTTAAAGTTCCCAAAATGCCGTTCACTCACCGTTTTCCAAGAACGTGAAACCGGGCGGACGCTCACAAGCGACAGCTGCGTGAGGCTCTTGGTCGAAAGAGTTTCTCGAAAGCGCTCGTGAAACAATAGCTCAGGCATTTGTTATTTCCTGCTTCCTCACCTCTAGCATACGCCATGATGACCTCACCACAATGCTGGCACAGTACGAAGGTTACGCGCAATCATTACGCCGCGTTGCATGATATGGTGGGGGCGTTCTCTACGTCGCAAGCTGACAGGCCTCATGCACTCTTACTTCCTCATACTACAGACAGGGGTAAAATTTGACACATTTCAGGGATAACGCGTGGAATGCCGTTTTGCGCAGCACCGAGTCTAGCTCATCAGAGCTACCAGTGTTTCATTGCCTATAAACTATAAGCAGAACGTTGGCTTCGAGTCGGCTCAGATTCAGCCTTGAAGCATGGCTTGAAAAATGGACGGAGTCGCAGTGAATCAAATTTCGGCAGGTCCCACGCACAAAGGCAGCCTTATTCTATGGGGAGCAATAAACGGCTGGCGGACTATGCCGCTTTCTCATTGCTTCAAGAGAGACTGAAGAGCAGAACGATTTGGCTATTGTTGGCCAATTTCACTATTTTGTAGCTCCAAAATCTCATCGCTTGTCGCGAGATGCTTGGTACAAGAAAAAACGCGCAAAAAAAAGGAAATGCGGGCAGCGACAGCAGGTTGACTTTCCCGCGCCTCGACGCCATAAAATTTGGGGGCATCTGTTAGCGCCTACGTACGCTCAGCGGGCCATGCTCTTAACATGCCAAGTCATTGTCGGCAAAATACGACAAATAAATGTTGACATTCGTGACGTCACGTGCGGGGATTTCGCCGCGGAATTTAAAACTAGCACTTTGACCTTGATTTTCTCTCCCCTACACTCTAAAAACTAAGAGAGTGCTGGGCACTCTCTTTGGGAGAGTATACTTTTTTGTCCTATATTTCACTCCCTTCTCCAGAGTAAATCACCTCTTGTTGAGGCAGAATACAAGCGATTCCTCCAGAACGGGTCAGAACAGAGTAACTTAACGCTGCCCAAAGCAGAGTAGCACGACCCCACATTAAAGAGTAGCAGCACACCTCACAAAAAAGAAAGAAGTAGAACTTAGGCCGAAATTGGGCTCTTTGTTTTTTGCGGATTTCCTCGCGCACAGATCGTAAGGATAGATAAATACAAGCACTAAGACAAAAAAAAGAAAGGGAAGGAAAAGGTTTAAAAAATGGCCTAAAGAGACTCAAACCTACGATCTCTAGGTGCACTGCACATTGCGAGCCCAACACGTAACCCACTACACCACAGTGAAAGACGACACGACACCAACACTACCCTGATGAAGACACCAGGCAAACGCAGACCATCGGCCCAAGAGTAGCCGGCCGACGAAGTCGCCAGACCCCATCGTCGCACTAGGCCGACGACGGCGATAACGCCTCAAAAGAGACAGCATGCCTTCGTAGTGTAACATAACGACAGACCAAAAAATACCAGTAAAACGCATCGGCAGACCTGTCGTCGGCATGTCATCGGGAGATCTACGGCCGAGCGAAAATTTGCCCAAGTCTTTGCTTCAAACGACCACCCCGTGGTTGGTCTGCAAGGATCAGAATGTGCGTGGTAGCCGAAGCAGCCGCCTTCCTTAGACGAGTTTCTTGCCTTTCCGTGAATGGGTGCAGACATCGTGCCTCGAGGGATAGTGAAAATGTTTTGACATGCAAAGCTTTCCGCTGGCTGGCCTGCAATTACGTATTGACTTTCTGGCTGTGAATGGACCTTTTCACAATAGGTACAGTGCTGTTAGCGGTGAGAGCCAAAAGAAAATTCGGTGGCTTTCCAGTCTACACGACAGCATGGGAATTTTTGCATTCCTTCGCATCCATAGCCTACGAGATGGAGTGCCAGCCGGTTTCGTAGGCCACAAGCCACCAGAAATGTTTCGGAATGGTGCCGTCGGAGTGTTTCCGGTGCGAATGTGCAGAAGGCGCCCGTAAAAAAGAAAAATTGGCCCGAATCTACATGTTACACTGTAAATGTCGTCGAAATACGATAGTCTTGCGTTTGAAGAGAGTGAACAAAAGGTTTATTTGATGTTCTGCGCAAAAAAATCGGTGAATGGTATTTTGAAGACGCTGCGTTAGAGTGCCTCGAGCGTGTAGCGGAGGTGAACAAGCCCATCTAGGCACGTTAGACACGAGCGCCATCTGGCAGTTATCTTCGAAAACGAAGGCGTGCACGACAGCGAAAAAAGATGCGCGCCAGTCTTGGAGGTGATAAGGTGTATACCCGGCGACAACTTTCTGTGGCAGCACGGCCAAGGCTACGTGGGCGGAGCCTATGCACATGTGCTACTGCGCCAAGTAGTCCGACCGCTTCGACGGGTGTTTCGGTTTCGATTTCACCAGCGCATACTTTATCCTTTATGTGTCCGGCGTTGACCTAGGTTTCGTCAAGCTAGTATATGGGTCTGGAAGAATAAACAACAAAAATGAAGCATGTCATCTGCAGCGAAGCGCGGCGAAACTCGGCTCGTGTCACAATTATTAAAAATTGCTCGCGTTTCGGCTCGCGTTTGCTCACGTTTCGCTGCAGGTTTCGCTGCTCGCGTTTCGCTGCGTTTGCTCGCGTTTCGCTGCTTTTTCTTACTTGCGCGTAAACGTTGTACGCCACCTTCTTGGCCTGTACGGACAGCTTTTGATTTGACAACGCCTGGTACGGCTGCGCAGCTGGTGGACTCGCGGCACGCGGCGATGTTTCCTCCGTAAGCGACGTTGACGAGCTGTAACCGGCGGACGCCATCTTTGACAGTGAGGAATGCGGTGAGGTAAAAAGGCGACGGAAGCCAAAAAACCCCCCAAAAAACCTGAGAGAGCGTGAAACGAAATTTTTTCTACTGCGCAACGTTTTTATTCACTAAGTAAAAAATAAATCCGCGAAAAATGTAAGTGACGAATGGTAAAATCTTAGTTACCCAGAACAGTATACAAACGTTTTCGTTGAGGGACTACATGCTGTGGCGCAGTAAGACAAGCGTGCTTTGGCTCCGTAGCCTTGGCTGTGCTGCCACAGAAAGTTGTCGCGGGGTATAGAATGCAAAGCGACGGGCAGATACCACCACTGTGTCGTCGTAGCAAAGCGGTGGAAACACTTTCTTGAGCATCGCGCTGCACTGTCAGCGCAGCGCAATAAACGCTACAGTCTTTAGAGTTACTTGTTTGTGCCTCTTCTAGTGCAAGGGCAGACATACAAAACATCGACATGTTGTTATAGCACCTCAGATATGCGCAATATCTGCTTTTTTAATTGACAATCGCACAACTATGAACGCTAAACCTTGAACAATATTGGTGGGCGTTGCGGATGGGGTTGGCCGTTTGGTGCCGTTCAAGGTATCGTTAGAGCGGACAAACAGACAAATGTACAGACAGACCAACATTTTTTTGTCGAAGGTCGCCAAGAAAGACTATTGTCTTTAAAAAAGGTCCATTGAAAGAAGACATGTCCACAGAAACATGTTCAAGTAACTTAAGCCATATGCTAATATTAGCTTTACAGGAGCAATACACTCTTTTGTAACACCTGCATTTATCCTTGGTGTATATCGTGAACAAATTAGTAGAATTAGTATGGGTACTGTCTATAGCTCTTTTTTGCACTGAGACAATGACCTGCATATATGCTGCTGAAAAAAAGAAGGGAAGACTTTTTTTTCTCCACCTGTGTATTGATTGTCGTTATTTAATAACGATTATTTTTTATACATCGTACTCGCTAATCACCACAAAATAAACACACTGGCAAAAAAGAATGATAATGAGTTCTGTTGAAAATTAACAGAACTTTCATTGCAAGGAGGCCCTGTGCGGTAAGCGTTCCAGGCAGTCCACAGTTGCAGAGGGCCAGATGACGTATCCATGCAAACAGAGCATCATTTATTCGTGAAAAGGCAACAGCTCACTTTTTGTTAATGTATACAACAATTGCACTTGTCCCCCTGGACACATTATGCGTCTTCATGTGCACCTGGAGGGACTCAACATTGATAAAGTCACGATGACACACCTCGCACGTGGCCACAGGCCGGACCGGCTCGTGTTCGGACGCCACGTGTTGCTTGAGGTGCAGCTTACGCGTAAATCCTTTGCCACAATCTTCACAAAAGAAGGCTCGCTCGCCAGTGTGCTTGCGCATATGTGCTTGCAGGCCGGCAAACTTGGCGAATCCCCGGGAGCACACCTCACATTGATGAGTGTGCTCGCCAGTGTGGGTCTTGACGTGCGAGGCCAGAGCAGTTGCCGTGGAGAACTCCTGCGGGCAGATCTCGCAGTGAAACTGTCTCTCTTGCGAGTGCTTCTTGCGATGCGAAGACAAGTTGGATGCGGTGGAAAAGCGCAGTGGACACTGTTCACACTTGTATGGCTTCTCGCCCGTGTGGGTACGTATGTGGCGCACCAGGGTGTTGTTGAATGTGAAGGAGCGGTTGCAGATGGTGCACGTGTAAGGCCGCTCTCCTGTGTGTATCTTCATGTGAGCATACAGCGTGGAGGCCGCATTGAAACGCTTGTCGCACACACGGCATGCATAGGGCCGCTCCTTGGAATGCGAGTTCTGGTGAACCTGCAGCATCAATAGTTTGGTATATGGCACATGCATTGCAGTAGCACCAAAATCAGGACAAACCTTGAATGAAGCCACTGCACTCAAGCCTCACTATATCGAAGTTGCATACTACACGAAAATAACTTAGTTATATCTGAAAACTCAACATAAATATATATTCCTAAGACTATTCATTTACTTTGTCATAACCGATATTTCATAATATATCAAGGTTTGTTACATCGAGGTTTGAGGGTACATTTGAAGATGCCTTTGAAATTACGCAAAACACTTTACAGTTCAGAACTACACAGCAGGCTGAGCTGCTGTGTTAGGTCCTACAGTACACGACAGTGTGATGCTGAGACCCATTGAGAACAAGACATGGACACTTAATCCTTAACTAAGAAATCTTTATCGTCCACAGCTGCTTACCGTACAGTCATTACCACCTGCACTCCCAAACAAAATTTAAAATTCTCCATGCAGAATATGTCAACACAACAACAGCACTGGTCGCACCACCTCGTGACACTGATGTTGCTTATAGAACATAGAGATAGAACACAGAACACTGTAAGGTTGTAGTTGTACCTTTCTAGAGCATAGACCCCAACAATCATCGGCATGAGCTAGTTTTTTTTCTTCTCAACATGATGTGACACCACACAAATGTTACATATTAAAATTTTCAAATGTTGCTAGAAGGAATTTGCTAAAGTGAATCACCTGTACATTTATATATCTGTTTTTGTAGAAAAGCGTAAACACTACGATTGAGAAAGTCGCTGCAAGCAGCACAATGTGTCACCAAGTGATTCAAACACCAAATTCAATGCGGCTTTCTGCTGTTAAGTTTTGCTATGAATTTGCAAATTTAGCAACCTTTTTAAGCGAAGATGTACTTTTTTGTTGGTGTTCAATAAATGCCTTTACAATTGGTGGAGGAGTTGTGCCCTCGAAAAATTTCAATCTCTCTTCAGCATCCATGGAACATATCTCATACACTGCCTTCTACCATGCCTCAAGATGCCACTCAACAAACGCTCCCTCCCGCTGTAACCACAACCCCATGTCCCGGTGTTTCTAGTCTCTGCTAGCTGCCTGTTCTCACTGGCATGAACCACACTGACATGGAGGACTGGCTTGTGATTTACAAGCAACGTAAGTAAACCCAATTATAATAGGACTGAGAAACTCAGTCTTCTACTTCATTGGTGCAGTAGGCCTGTGGTACTACCACACACATCAGATCTTCTAATCTGGTTCGATATCAATATCATTAGTATTGGCATGTTTGGCCTCCCTAACATTTGCAAGCTGCAAGCAGAACAGTATTCAAGCAAATGAACTCAGCAGGCCAGTGAACCTTCCACAAGTTACATCGAAGACAAGCTCAACTTGAACACAAAAGCCACCGAAACCATGTCGCAGTCTCATAACACAAATGTCATCAAAGGCATCAACGATGACTCCTTCACCATGCTGCTCACCAAAAGCCCCCTCACTGTGGAAAAGGTATTAACAGTTTACCAAAACTACAAGAGGCTGGACAGGCACATAATGTTGTCTTCCATCACGCAACAAAGATCTTACTGGCTTGTCCACCACTTCTGACCATTCCACATTCCTCGTACATGTGAAGACATTAGTGAACAGGAAAACTGTACGCCAGTTCTCTGTGCTGGCCTTTGCTCACCCGCAGCATGTTCACCAGCTGTGTACTACAATTCGGCCTCCCCTTCATGGGTGGTGGAGAAAAAAATCACAGATGCCATGCCCAAATACCTTTAGAACCCTCCGGCGCCTGCACAACTGTGTTACGCTCAAGTTCACACCGCCCCCAGCAATCCTGCAGCTGTCCCACTCAGTTATGCCAAGGTCGTCACTATAGACCTTAATACTTCCAAGCAGGTGGGCCACCTAGATATGCTGACATCATCCCAAGGCCCCAACTTGGCCCACTATGCAGTCATATTACCATCTGCTATGTTTTGATGCATTTGAGCAATGGCAGCCTCCAACTGAACTTGAAGAAGCACTGATTTGCTGCAACTTGCAATACTTGGCTATGTCGTATCTGACTGGAATTCTCCCTCAACACTGCCCAGCCGTAGGCTATTGTTGATATTCTTATGCCTACATCCACGCTTCATTTGCATTTTCACCACGATGATTTCATTCCTAATAAGGCTTTTGGTATCGATAAGACTCCTTACCTTTTGGTCACACGTATGCATTGAAGTCTTCATGAATCTCAGTACCTTGCCGAATTATCCCCCAATTTTATGCCCCTTATTTTTCAGAATCCCCTTTTTTTCTCAATAACGTGTAGCTACATGCAGGTGCTTGGTCGTTGAAACTCACCTTGAAGTTAGCTGGATCCTTGAAGGTCTTTGAGCATACCGAACACTGGAAGGGCTCCTCGCCAGTGTGCCGGCGCATGTGCACCTTGAGTGACGTGCTGTGCCGGAAGCATTGGCCACACACCTTGCATGGATAAGGCCGCTCGCCCGTGTGAATACGCCTATGCCGACGGAGGTGGAAAATGGTCGTGAATTCCTTGCCACAGTCGGCGCATGCATGCTTGGGGCCCCCTATAAGGGCTTCATGGTCTGCGCTGCTGGCATCAGTTGCTGCTACATGCTCGGTCAGGATGCAGTGTGCCTGCTCGTCCACCGTGATTATGTCACCAAGCACCCAGATCTCGCTGCCCTTGTCACAAGGCTCCATCTGAAATACAGCGACACCACATGAACGAGAAGTTTCACGAGTTTTGAGATGGACAATTTCACAAGAATGTAGGTATAGCCACAGTGGAAAAATATTGTGATGCCTTTCAAATATAGCGTTTCTAGTACTTCCCAACTTCTCACATTAACTCGATACAGCTGGAGCTGTATTTTTGGCAGATCACTTCGACAACATTCTGTACAACTAAACAATTGAAATGAAATGAAGAAGTGCGCTCTGCAAAGCTCCGTAGCCGTATCGTCAACGCTACATAGGAGTGGCTCGTGATAGAAGTTGTTGCTGTTCGCGCTAGCTGGGCCTACGATAGTATCCTGTCTGTTATTACAGTATCTGTTACCAAGAACGTGTTTCAGCTCTTATTTATAGAAACATCAGTTGCATTTAAACAATGACAAACCATACATTTGCAAACACAAATGCAACTGCAAATTGACCCTAACTTGTTCAAAACAGTCGCCTGAAAATCTTGCAAACCTGCTCAGATCACCGGAGTTTTCGACCGAGAACAGCCTCGGAACATCACCGATGAGCACTGATGATACATGTAACTAGACGGTCCAAATAAATGGTACAATGTTGCATATAATATCTACAATACTGTAGTCTTTAAGGGGAGATGCTACTCGAAGACACTTTTTCTTTATTATTCACCCTAGAGCAATGAAACTTGAGCTGTTTATGGAACTTTTTATGCTGGTTTCAAATATATAATTAGTTTTTCTTGCAAGTAACACACTTTTACCTCTGCAACATGACAAAGTGAAAACCTTAACCCTTTTGCCCCCCCTCTTTTCATCTCTAAAATTCTGTAATTTTTTACCATTCATAGTTCATGATGCTTCAAATAAAGTGTTGGAAAGCACATACAAAATATGTAATACGCGTGAAAAATAATAGACGTAAAAAGGCCATATTTCACCTACCCTAGTAAAGGTATTCGTACAATTTTTTATTATACTATAAAATATTAAAATTTAAACTAGATAATTGCATTCGTCATACTTTGGAAAAATTTGGGCAAAATTTCATGCAGATCCGAGCACTAGAAGTGCCCGAAAAAGGAGGGGCACATTAGAAAAAATGGCAAAATTTGTGTTTTGAGAAAAACGAGTTTTTAAGTTAAGATTGAGTTTTTATTCATGAAAGATATTATTAAATCACATGAAATTTGCACACCAAAAAGAACAATCCTTCTTGTAGTGGCCACTGCGACTAAAATGCGCCAGCACCACGAGTTTGTCCCTCTCGACGTTTTCGAGCCGACTCCTCACAGACATTTCGCTCACAGACAGAGCCATGAAACGCTTGCCAAACTTTCGCTCCATCTGGCAGAGCCTTGTGGCAACTGCAAGCTAGGAAGAAGTTCAACAGGACGGCGAAATCCAAAAGAAGTGCAGTGTCATGCCATTTTGCAGCCATGTTTGTGCCACATACTATCGTACATAATGGCAATGTCGTCGCTGCTAAGTTCTCTCACTGCGAGCTCTTTCGACCTCCCAAGATTGGCGCTGACGTCATCCATTGCCGCATCACGAACTTTCCGGCTGACGGGTGTGAATGACTTTGATGCATTGGTTTTTGCAAGCCAACAACTGCCGCTAATCGGGCCAGCTGCTCGTAGCCTATTCCTACAGAGCGCACCGCACAACTGGCTTTCACTTGCGAGCAATGCCTTTTTTCATTCATGACGGAGATAATTACACTGAGAAAAGCATTGTTCAGCTGCGCTGCTCGACGAGACATGGACCCCGCAAATAGGTTTCACAGCACATACAGGCGTGCAGCAGGCCAATGGCGGTCCCCGATTCGTACCATGTGATAGGCCAGTCGCAGCACTCGAAAAACGCGCAGAAGAGTGATTCTTATTATTATTCCTTTCGCTGCATCAGCGAGAAAACTGTTGTTATTTGAAGAGTGAGGCTCGACTCTTCGACTCATGCGATCAACAATGGCTAGCGGCGGCGCATTATCGGCGACAAGGTGGTCGAAGACTGCACACTTTCGACCTTTTAACAGGCACCTTGTGCTTTTTAGATGAAATTTTAAAGCATTTCCAGTTAAGTCTCGACCTGTATTATTTTTGTCATAAGAGTAGAGGTACTAATCTTATCAAAACAGGCGAAAATAAAAAATCGGTAATTTTGAAAAAAACTCATTTTTCGACCCGCATCTCCCCTTAATAGAAAAATTGAATGGTGTGGTGGAACACGCTAAACATTTAAGACAGGTGCGTTGCAGTTTTATTACTTGGGTGCTGACACGAACATTTCTACTAGTTCCCTCGCATGAAATGAAAGAAAGGTCAAGCCCTCGAGAGCCTACAAAATGTACTTGTAAGTGTGAATGCGCCATGAACAATGATGTACTGTATGCTTTGAAAAGCTAGTTTGGTTGCAACTGTACTCTGATGTCACAACACGGTAGCGGTTCCCTGAAATGTGCTTGTTCTAGATGTTGCATCATTTCATGGCCACACATGTTTTCACACACATGGTTACACATGTTTTCCATGGCCACAGCGTGCACGTGGCCATTCTGTTTGTTTCGGTATTTGATGTCAACACTAGGCTTTTGCAAGTATTTGGATGCTTCGAATATTCAAACGCACATTACTGTATCTCAATTCACTTTGGTTCAAAACAGTTCTATCGTGGATCACCTCGTACTCCCACCGTCAAGCCAGCCCATCGTCATTCAGACCGTATACATCACGGGAAAGCCGTTTACCCACCAAGTGCTCACACCACTGCGCACCTTTCATCTTTTTTTTGTCAAAGCTGCACAAGACTGGAATGACCTTCCTCCTCACGTTGTGCACCACTCCTGTATCATACTTCAAAGCAGCGATCGAACATCTACCCCTTTAATCCATTGTAATAGCCCACCCCCTCATGTAAAACCCCTTCATTGGGGCCTTCGAGGTATTGTAAATAAATAAATAAATTTAAACTGTTAAAGATTTCGAAGTATTCGAAATGAACAAACCGATGTATATTAAATAATTTGCATTTAACCCCCTGTAAAGGTAGTTTCACTGTAGTGTAGGGGTGCTAAACCGTGAAAACACTTGCACAAATTAGTTCGCATGTAACCTCTTAAAGGTGGTTGCACTGCAGTGAAAAGGTGCTAAGCCAGTGAAAATGCCCATCCTAGGAAATCCGCACTGCTGCAAAGCCTCACTTTAAGGTTAAATAAACATATTACCCTCACATTGCTTAATAATTTCCTAAGTTGAAAAGCTTGTTATACTGGCTTTTATGCTCTAAGTACATTTGACTCTCATTATTTCAAACTCGAAGAAACCTCTGAATTTTGTTTGAATTATCAGAAGTTCTCAGATGACTCCGAATGAGGTGACACCACACATTATGATTAGGAATTGATTTTAACACATTTAAAAATTTTAGGAGTGTGACCCTAACTGCATGCACGCAATGAACAGAAAGCAGAGGTGTAAAGTCCGCAAGGTTATTGGCCCTATACTGCTAGTCATACCTTTTAAAGAAAATTTTAAATGATGTTAAAGAAATTGCCAACTGTTTCACTGCTGTAGGTATGTGCCTTCAGCACAAAGCTCTCTATACCAGTTGAGAAGCATCACAGTTTGCCATGCACGTGCTCAGTTTCAAACATTAGTTTATTTGTAAGATCCTTTTTCCTTGAAGGCCTCAGGTGAATATTTTTCATTTTTACACTGTTAGGATCATATAAGCAGACAAAATTTTGAATAGTAGAGGGAAAGCAGTAGATATTTTCTGGTATGGACCTGCAAAGAGTATCAATTAATCAAATGATGGAGTTTGAATTAGGAGCCTTTTAAATACATAGAAAGAACAGAGGGCCAACCAAAAAATATAATTTTGTTTGAATTACCTGATAGTATGAATTATAAGAGTCTGAATTATCACGAATCTACGGTATAGTAAATTTTAAAACGTAACATATTTTACAGGTTACCACTTGTATTGTACCGAAAGTTGATTGATGATTGACATGAGGGGTTTAACGTCCCAAAACCACCATATAATTATGAGAGACACCGTAGCGGAGGGCTGCGGACCACTTGGGGTTTTTTTAACGAGCATCCAAATATGAGCACATGGGCCTACAGCATTTTTGCCTCCATCGAAACTGCAGCCGCCGCAGCCGGGATTCGATCCCGCAACCTGCGAGCCAGCAGCCGAGTACCTCAACCACTAGACCACCGCAGTGGCGCTTCTACCGAAAGTCAAATCCTGCTGCTGTTCAAAGTTGTTTCCACTTCCTCTGAACCAAAAAGAATGGCATTTCCACAGGCCTTGTTTCAATTTTTTTATACGTTGTGCAGGTCAGTTTGGTTATGACCAACATGCCCATCCCTAGTAGCAACAAATTGTTGCCGCTATGTTGCCAGAACGTTGCAAATGTTGTTGAATGTTGTGCAACATTTAGTCACGTTACATCAATGTTGTCAGATGTTGCTCAACTTTCACCAACATCTTATCAATGTTGCACCAGCGATGTTGTGGTAACATTGCATTTTTATGTTGTGACAATGTTGTCAAATGTTGACAGACATTGGCCCATATTTGGCCTCACGGCTGCTTGATATCTGCCGCAACTGCGTTACTTCCTACAAAGCTGGTTTTATTTCTGTGGCACGCACAAATAAATTCAAAAGATTTCTCTATTACTTGCCCAAAATAATGATGCCATTGCTGTGCTGCCTGTAATGAAAACTTGCACCTAGTACACGTACTACGATCTTTAACATACATTTTTTTTATACGTGTTTTGTGTTAGATATATGTATTTTCACAACTTATCACAGTGACGCGTTGGTTCGCGCGCAGTACTAGTGGTGCTGCAGGGGACAAGCAACATGCAAAAATGAAACCAAGACCCAAAGCGGAACCTTTGTGGATCAGCGACAGCCCTATGGTTATTGACATCGCCAATGGCCACGCGCAGAGTTTCGCGGGTAAAGCTGTACGCTCTGT